CACTGACTAGATTAATAACAACACCTTAGCCCAAGTGATATAATCAGCAACACCACTGCATCAAGTACATCTTAGAAAATGACACTTTGTGGTAGTTATTAATCTATCACCTTTAACTGTGTAAATTAAATCAAGATCGAGGACCAACCCAACATATGTTTATAGTGAATAAACTCTTCAATGTAACAACTTTACCCTTCGGGATGAGGAGTTAGAAGGAGTTGGGGAGGGAGGGACAGATAGGTAGAAGGATTGGGGAAGGTTTTGCAGTGAGGCCAGAGGACACAGGCAAGAAGGAAAAAGAGAATAATAGAAAAATAAAGAACTCCAAATGAGGGCCAGAACAGGGACAAAAAGGCAGATGAACAATATGGGACAGCAAGAGAGTGATTATAAGAGAGAGAGAAAGGAAAGAGAAAAGAAAGAAAGAACAAGGGAGAGAAAAATCTTTGCAAAGAGTAGGAAAAAAATTAAAGATAAAAGGAGAAAAAGAAAACACACCAATAATACTAATTTTGGAAATGAAAAATGAAAATGAAGGGCCTCTTTCAGGGTATGTCTCTGTTGTCACAATAGACATTGTGGGTAGCCATGTGCAGACATAAGTCAATGAGTCTCAGCAAGCCAGTCACAGACCCGTGAGATTCGGGCAGATTTCTGGCTGCAAGTCCCAAATTGAGCTCCCTGTCCTCCTGTAGGGTTGAACTCTGCAGGGTTGTACTGCAGGTTCCAGCTACCCTTCCCCTGAAGATAGTCCAGTTTCCAATGGGAGGTGATGATTGCTCCAACTTACCCAGTACAGTGGTCTGGTGGTCCAGTGTTCTCTGTATCTTTGTAGTGTGGAACCAGATGGCAGTACAGCCACGAGCCCAGGGGTGGGGGTGTGTCCAGTGGATTGCTGCCTTTGCACAGGCTGGATCGGCGTGTTCCACCCGGCCAGGGACCCTGACAGCATCCATCAATGTGCCTGTCTGAAACAGGCTGAATTGGTGCTTTCCTCGCGGCCAGGGACCCTGCTGCAACATCAGCTTATTTATTTGAGTTTGCTCTGTTTTCCAACTATGAATATTCACTGCTATGAATTTCCCTCATAAGACTGCTTTCATTGTGCCCTATAGATTCTGATGTGTTGTATTAACATTGTCATTTAATAGTACAAACTGATTTGATCTTCAATTTCCTCTTTGACCCATTGGTTATTCAGATGTGTTATTCAATTTCCATGTGTTTATGAAATTCTTGCAGTTTCTTTTGCTATTGATCTCTAATATCATTGTACTATGATTTGATAATATACACGGGATAACTTCAATTCCTTTGCATTTACTTAAACATTTTCTATGAATGAATATGTGGTCTGTTTTGGAGAACGACCCATGTGCAGCTGAAAAGAATGTGTATTTTGATTTTGTGGGGAGGAACACTCTGTAAACATCTGTTAAGTCCATTTGTTCAAGAGTTTGACTGAGTTGTAGTATTTTGTTTATTTTCTGTCTAGTGGATCTATCTATTTGTGACAATGGGGTATTGAGGTCCCCCACTACTATTGTATTAGTGCTTATTTGACTTGTCACATCCCTTAGTATTTGTCTTATATGGTTGGGCACACTAGTATTTGGTGCATACATATATAAGATTGTCAGCTCTTCCTCTTGGATTGTTCCCTTTACAAGGATGTAGTATCTTTGTCTCTTAATCAGTATTGGTTTGAAATCCATTTGACCTGCAAAGAGGATAGCTATTCCTGCTTTTTTTTGGGTTCCTGTCACATGGAGTATTGTTTTCCCTTTAATTTTCAGTCTATGATGGGCCAAGGATGTAGCTCAATGGTTCCGCTGCCTGCCTCACAAGCGGAAGGACCTGAGTTTGATCCCTGGTACCAAAACAAAACAAAATTTTCAGTCTATGAGTTTCTTTTTGAATTTTGTGTTTCTTGTATGCAGCATATTGTTGGATCTTGCATCTTGACCCCTTCTGCCAGTCTATTTCTTTTGATTGGTGAATTGAGACCATTAACATTGATGGTTATAACTGACATGTATTGCCTTATCCTTGTCATGACTTTTTCTTTTTGTTGGATTCTCCTACTTTGAATTTAATTTCTTGTCATGGCCAATGGATTCATTCTGCTAGGCTTCCTGGGGTTGTGATCCTCATTGTCTTTTCCTAGGATATTGTCTAA